ACGCCCCTTACTCTTTTTATTATCTTATCTTTTTCAAGTTGGTTCAAAGAATGTTTTAATTTTTCTGTTGATGCTAATGGGATTTTCCTAGCTGGAAAAATCGATGGTATGGCATCATTCTTGAGTTCAATGTGATATTCTTTTTCTAAACACCCTATACCTTTGAAGATCTGTTGATATTTATTTAGAATATTGTCAAAATTTTGATCTGTTTGGAAATTGTCGTCAATAGACTGAATCTCTTTTATTAGCTCTAGCTCTGAACAGGCTTTAAGACCCAATATTGGTATACTTTCAATATCAACAGCATAGAATAATAAATTACAAGTTTTGTTGTCAGATTTACATTCCAGAAAACATTGGCCCAAAATAGGTAAACTATGTTTAGTATAGAAACTTAGTATAACATTTGTTTTTTGCAGATTTAACATGTTGAAATTTTTTTCTTTTAATACCTTCAGAAGAATAACATTTGCCATTGCTCCAGTATCTAGTTTGAAATATATGTTGATGTTATCATTGACCTCAATGTTTGCAGTCCAGGAATCCTCAGACACTGCCCCTATTGTCCCTGGCTGTTCTGATAACTGCCTGCTACAGAGGTGACTTTCAATGGAATCTACAAATAAAAAGTTTTGAGCAGAATCATCATCATTACTAGAATTTAGATGTTGGTCAACAGTGTGAACATGTTTTTTATAGTAGTTTTTGTGGTAATTGTTTCCTGAAGCCTGAAAATGAGATTAACATTTATTATTGCCGTTATTGTTATTTGAAAATTTCAAACAAAGATGCGAAAAATGGTTGTAATTTTTGCAACGAGTGCACTCAACTTGGTAAGCTGGACGCGCATTGGCGGTTGTTGGCTGTTCCTCTTCATCTGGTTGTTTGATGAACCTGATTTGGCTTGGTGGTGGAAAGTGGATCTCCCTTTTTGTTGATTATCAAATAAAATGGAACTTTCTGATTGCATTGACTTCTCCATGATCACCATAACTGTTTCCATTGGTGATTTGGCGGTTTTGTTCCTTGGTGGATTCGCTATTCATGCAGGAAGTGACGGCTTCATCTAGCGTTTCACAATCTTTATCAAAAAGTTGTGCCCTCAAGTCTTTCAGCTCACATGATAAAGAAAGGTTCTTCAGTTCAATGATGAATTGCTCTATATTGTTTGACCTTCTTTTTGACGACAGGTTAACAATTTATATCTTTCGAGAGTAAGGTTTACCTTGGGATTAAAATGATCGTCAAGTTTCTCCAATTAAAGTTCCAATGTTTCAGTTTCGTTCTCTTGAAATGTGAAAGTATTGTAAATTTGCATATCCTCATCTCCAATTAAAGTCAAAAGCTGTGCACATTTCGTGGAATCCTCCTTTTTGATTATTTCGGTTGCTTTGAGGTAGGTCATGAACTTTTACTTCCAAAAGCTCCATGCTTGATTCAGATTGCCACCGGCCATGCTCATGGGCATTATATAGGTCGGTCCATTTTGTCAAAAAATGTTATCTACAATCATCGACGAAATGTACGGTCCTTCTTGAATAATTTTCAGGTCGCCCAGACAGCACTGGATATTCCTAGAAGATTCTCTAAATATGCTGAAAGGAAGAATATATTCCGAATATCCTTCGAATATTCTTAGAATATATACGTGCCTCTGGAACATTCAAGGAATATTCAAATGTGAATATTCTAGTAATATTCCAAAATGAATATACAGGGAATATTCCAGAAGGAATATTCTGAAGTGAATATTCTAGGAATATTCCAGTTGGATAGTGCAGGGAATATTCAGGTATGAATATTCCAGGAATATTCCCAATTGAATATTCTGTTCCTGTATATTCATGGCATATTTCAATAATATTCCCATGTGTTTCAATGGGATTGTAAAGTATGAACATTAACCAATCACAATTTTATAGATGTGAGTATTAAACATTGATTTTGAAATCTGTGGGATCAAAAACAAAAAGTCGTCTCCACAATTTTGATAGTGATCAAAGTACTCAATCAGATCATCGTACATGTTAAGAGCCCATATGGAACTGGAAGTGTTTATGGTTCCCTTCTGAACAACGCAATTCAATAAATTGTTATGTACATTATTATTCAACTCGATTACTGGCCAAGTGGTTAAGGCCTTGATCTGACAGTCTGAAAGTCCCGAGTTCGAGCCCATCTTGGGTCAGCTTTTTTCAATTATGAATATGTATTACGGAATATTCCCGGAATAATCATTTATTTATATTCCTGTATTATTCCAGGAATATTCCGAATATTATCTGAATATTCCTAGAATATTATAGGTACATTCTGAATATATAGGGAATATTCCTTGAGTAATATTCTGGGAATATAAAAATTTTCCCCACCAGCACATTCAGGGAATATTCCATAGTTGATATGTATATATCCCTGGCATGTTCATGAATATTCGCAATATCCAAAAAGAATATTCTATGAATATTCATGGAATATCTGGTGCTGTCTGGGCGGTATTGGTACTTTTCTATGGACTGCGCCATGTTAATTTGTCTTATTCCATTACTTTTACTTTGGAGATGGGAGGATAAATAAAATGCTTCTTGTTACTGCTTCAGCAGCCGGAGGGAAACTGAACTTTATTTGTGTCATGAATCATGAAACATAAATGTCGTTTTGACATGTGACAATGACAGTGCTTACATGCTGAGGTTAGTCATGTGACAAAAATCAATATTTTATGTTTCACAAAAAAATAAAAACATTGTTGATAATTTCAAGACAATGTAGGGTTTACAAACAAAACATCCTTTCGTTTTTTTTACAAAAACTATTGCCATCAGATTATCAATTCAACATAAGAATCTATGACATAAGTATTTTATTGGCTTGAACATAAATCAACTGCAACTATGCAATGCATCTGCTGATTCATAGATACTGAAACTAGTGATGGTGAGAACACATTCAAAATTTGAAGATGTAATTGTAGGTAGTTAGAGATTGAATCAATGCACATTGATTTGAATTGGACTGAGGTTCACACTGTATAGAGAGCGAAGACAAAAGTAGGAAAATAAAAAACTACAATATCTCCTTTCGGTTGAGTATACTATTTGTTCATTCAACACTATGGAATAAAAGTGTTACATACCTCAAATATTGTAGAAACAAAATTAACAATATCATTTGAATAGGTCAGATAGGTACATCTACTGCAGAACTGTTATTCTTACCCATTCATTCCAAAATTGCAGAAAAAGATTATTTTCACAAACTGATGATGTCACTGGGAAATTCAAACAAAATGATTGCACCCCAACCAATATTATAATATTACGAAAAATAAGAAGAAATACCAATGAAATTAGAAGATTTGCTCAGCAGCGAAAGGCAAATGACAACATGTTTTGACATTTCATGAGATACAACATAACCAATAATTTGAAGAAATTCTCAAAAACAAATGAAATCTTTGCGATTACCCGTATGTGCTGCCACCCAAGCAAGCATACACTGAACTAAGTTATTGGGCTGTCATGACCCCAGACAGCACACGACGTCCCGAGGACGTACATATTACGGCCTATTCGAGTCCGTACGTCCCGGAACCTTATATGGACGTTCTCAGAACGTACCATCCCGTACGTCTTCAGGGCGTACATAGCGTATACGTTCTCAGGACGTCCATTTTCAGTCTCAAATTTTTCTATATTCATTATATTTTTCAATGATAATAAAACATTGCCAAATGTGATCAAATAAAGTAGTAATAAGGCCCCTTTGGTGTTAGCTGCCGATCAACTGCCGATTCATTCATAATAGGTCACAATGAATCGAAAGCTCGATCAAAAGTGATATTTTGTGAACAATGTGGGGAAATCGAAGTGAATCTGGCAATGTTGGCATATTATTATCCTGAATAAGGTACATAAAGATGAATTTATATGCACATTCTGCACATTCACTCTGATTCATAGAAAATTCCATTTGGTGGAGTGTGCTCTCAATGTACCTATATTTATGTTCTTTCCTAACTTGCATGTTTTGAACAGAGGTAAGCCTCTTATTTCAACAAGGGTTGTGTGGAGTATTGGTTATAGCGTTCGAATTGGAATCGCTATTATCTTCGAGGAACACCGTGCGTACCGTGCGAGGTATAGGAAGAGGAGAAATAATATTAGATTTTTTGAACTTTTGGAAGCTACACAATCTTGAAAATATTTCCTCAAACGACCATAATAACACAATTATGTCCCATGGATATCCTTAGGACGTCCTGTCGGGACATTCACGACGTCCATAGGACGTTAGAACCTGGTACCGTAGACGTCCATTGGACGTCTGTGGGACGCACAAATGTCACACTTGAGGACCAACTAGGGACGTCCTTGAGGGATGTCCCTGGGACAACTCTCGACTACCTAAATCCTACAGTATTCTTCATCAAGCACTATGGAGGACAGAGTAGCAGACAGTTACTCTGTCCTGTGGTCATCCACAGCCATCGAGGTGCACTCGGGGGACGTAGGTGTAGTAACAGAGATATCTGTACTCCTGCGTCGCTTGCCCGAAAAGCACGTTTCTGTCTAGTGCTAGTAGGTGGCACTGTACCAAACATCCGTATTGCTTCGGAAAGTAAACTGATTCATTCAAAAATTGCTAAAATACGATAGCCCTATTTATATCAAAAAACTTTCTCAATTGAATTCGTATGAACTATACTCCTCAAAGTTTATTCGGCATGAGTTAAATGAGTTTTTTCACTGTGCTATATTATGCTTTCGTGAGAACTTCTCCGTAACAAGAAAGTGACATACTTAGGTACATTCCTGTTGAATGAGAGACATAAACAGAAGCGATTTTATGACTATAGGAAACCCATTAAAAATAATGAAATCAAACAAAGGTAATTTTGTTAGAATACTTAATATAATTTTTGATTTTAGATGAATGAGCGAAAACAATCAAGTGACTCTGGTTTTAATTTATGCACCATCATTCCATGAGTCACATCACATAAATCCAGAAGTATGGGGACTAATTCTGTAAATATCCCTCCACGTATTCATTCTCTCTAACTCTGGATTCTTATCACTGACAAGTCCATCATTTCCGATATTCAAGTAATGGAGGTGATCCTCTTCAATGGGTTTCCATTCGACATCCAAGGTGTTGTTTTTTGGTGTGGGATTTCCATATTTGGCAAAATTTGTCCATAACTCAACACACCGCCTTACTGCTCTACGTTCGACATCTCCAATTTCCATTCCAGGGATACAAGTTATATTGAAAATATAACCCAAATCATCAGCGTGGCACATACCTTGAAATAAAATGAAACATTTTGTATTGTTCAAAGATTATGATAATTTCATCAAGTATATGAGATATACGCAGATGAAAAGTAGGTATGATAATTTGATTTCCAGAAAATCTGATGAACCTCTCTCAGTGCTGATGTGACCGTTCACAATGTTTTTTGCCATTAGTTCCACTATTTTCAACAGCAAGATATGCAGGGTGTATCTGAATAACACCGAAAAATTAAAGGGGTTATTCCTCGTGATATTCTCACAAATAAAGTTCAAATAAACATGTATCCTAACTTGCTCCTGTTCAATATCTACCTGTAATTATTAGCTATAAATCCGGGATCGAAGAACGAAAAATGATAAATCGTGTCAAAGTCAAAAGTTTTTATTTTTTCACTATTTTTCTTGTCAACAACGACAACTGAACTTCATCCTCACACCTACATGACACAATATCAAAATATATAGGGCATTACAAAACAATTAGTAAAACAAATATCTAACATCTACCTGTAATTATTAGCTATAAATCCGGGATCGAAGAACGAAAAATGATAAATCGTGTCAAAGGTTTTTATTTTTTCACTATTTTTCTTGTCAACAACGACAACTGAACTTCATCCTCACACCTACATGATACAATATCAAAATATATAGGGCATTACAAAACAATTAGTAAAACAAATATCTAACAGCTCCGGTTTTGAGATACAAGATGTTGTAGTTAGAAGTATCGATTGTTTTTATTTATGAACACCCTGTATGAGCTTTCATGGAGCCAAAATTCAGTATAGTTGAAGACTGAGGAAGCCCTATAATTTCAAAATGATTGTAATGGGGGTTATTGAGTAATCTCAATGGAAGTCTTTGAAACACCTACATTCAAATTTGGAGTCAAATCGTTTTTTTTATTGTTTCCTCAAAAGCTAAGCTAGATACTAAAATCACACATAGGATGAAAAAGTTGTTATTCCAATAGTTCAATCTAATAAAAATATAAAACTCAGAAAAACCGGTGGCGTACAATGACATTTACCATTAATATCGATAAATTTACCCACTGTGACGCCACTGGAAATATCATTTCGAAAGTAATTCGCGAAAATCACGAAGTGTGCGGCCTCTGGTGGCTAACTTCACAAGTCTTGTGACTATGGAAACAAATATGGCGACCATTGTTTTGAGTTTCTGTGTTTTATTTGAAAATAATTTATTTGTTGAAGTGCATATTCCAGAACCTCATTTTTCCCTGATGAAAAAACTCGAATTATTGCATGAACTTTTATTGTTTACAATGAAGAAACCAGTAAGTACCTACCTTATAATAATATAATATACATTTTCTGAAGCACAGTTAGAATCGTTGTATAAATGTTGGTTGCAATGATTCGATCTTGAGAATTCAATTGCTGGAGATCCTTGTTTATGTAAATCGATGATATTGTTCATTCTGAGCAGCCTCTCCGACCAAAAGCCAGTGATATTTCTTGATGAATTCAATTATTTCTTCATATCTCTACCATATTGTTGTAATAGCTGATTGCTTATATGGTTTCATTCCAGTCCATGCAAGTGTTGAGTGGACCATTCCGACCATTCCATATGTTTGAAAACTGTGGAATTGTAGTGTGATATCAATGATGAATACCACCATTGTCCACATCAAAATGGCAATTTCTCTGCACAGAAAGTAATTTTTTCCATACTGGAAACCTTGTACGTATTTCACGAAGTCAACTCATTAATGAATTACAGAATAACAGGGTGATATGAGAATAGGTTCGGCGAAATGGAGACACATAGTTGAGAATTGAATATTAATATTCTTCTGGATCCTGAAATAAACAATGTCCTATAAGAGCAATGCAATTATCGAAAAATTACAGCGGTAATTGCACTGCAGGGCGGAGATTGCACTGCGAAAGCATCAAGTCGTCATAACAACACTATGTCGCTAGATGCCAATGAACAACACAAATAAATGTCAGATAGTTTTTATCTAATAACTCCTCAACTAAAATTATATCTTCGGACTTGGAAATAGGTTTTGTACATCAAAGGAAATGAATTTTGTGATATCAGGTAGAGTGACATTTTGAATCTTCAGCAGGTAGATCGGCAGTATGCTTTGCTTCCTGATGGCTCGCTAGACAAAGGAAGTGCTAATGCATGTGCTCAAAAATAGTGCTTGTGAAGTGTTATTCGCCGCTTATTCGCTCAACCCGCTTCTCCATTTCATCAGAGGAATTTGGAGTCTTCGAAAGAAGAAAGGAAGGGTCCTTCGTAAGACGAACACGGAAGACCGAACAAGGTAAGTCGTCCTGCCGCCTCACGGTTTTCTTATTGCGAAGTGCACTCATTCTGACTCTCAAGATCGAAATTCTCATTCTGCTTCGATCGTTTTCTCATAGACTTTTCTGAAATCAACGACAATGCGCCATTTTTTTCACCTGACGCGTCCGTCTTTTCAGGAACAATCCAAAATGGGCGAAGACCATGGTGAATCGCTAGGTTGAATAATTCCTTGGTCTAGCATTTCGTTAATTTGTTTTTCTTCTTCGGGTTTAAACAGGGTGAGTCATGAGGAGCTGCACATACTCCCACCACGAATAGTGGCCACTGAGGGGAATACCAAATGTCCATCAGAAAGTGTCTTCTACACTCCTTTTTCCATATATATAGGGTGAATTATGAGATTTGGCAGAAACATCTTTTGGTTATAACTTCCCAACAGCATCTTCAATTTGTCTGATTTTCTCATGGAATATTACGCTACTACTCTCTAATCGACTGACTCATTCAGCATCAAGAAAATTTCTTGACCGCTATCTGGGAAAGCCCTGTACTGATGAGAGCCAACAGCTCGAAACCGGTCTGCAGGTAGTCAGCGTTCCTGAACCACTTAAGCGCAGCTCAGCGTTTAGGAAGGAAACACTTGCGATTTTATTCGTTTATACGAACTATCGCATAGATTTCGGGAGGATGTAATGCAATGTTCTGCGTGGCATATAGCCAGGAAAGTAGTTGTTTTTCTCTCGTTATCTACCATTATCGTTCATTTTATGAACTAGTATGTGGTTATGACTTTGAGTTTCTCTCTCTTGTGTTGTATTCAATAGTATGTTCCTTTCTCCACCGGAGTAAGTTTTTTCTCAAAGTTCTTCCTTTTCGTTCAATAAACTAAGAATATTCTCAGGATATTTGTTTGAACAGTCCATTCCAAATGTTCATAGAACGTCCCTAGAATATTTGTATCACATTATGAGAATATTCTGAGGTTATCCAAATATTTTCTAGGAATATCCAATGGACATTTTATGGATGACATTGTACTATCTGGGTGTTGCTTTGGAAATGTTTGATATTGTAAGGAAGGTTTACTATTTTGTTGTCTCAACTGTTTTAAATTTTTGTCTCTCTGTTTTTTTTTTTTTTTTTTTTTTTTTTTTTTTTTTTTTTTTTTTATCGCTTGGAGCGCACGAAAGGGAATCCCTATAATGTTCAAAATGAGCAGCCAAAGCACTTTTAACGGATTGCCAATCTTTTCCAGCTCCACCTATCAGTTTGTAATACATTCCGTTGATAATAGTGGTATTTTCAATACAATTCATGTCAGCAGGATTTGAATCCTAATATGTATTCATAATTATCTAATTTGCTGTTCCTAGAAATGATGATCATTCTAGCAAATTGCCATCTAATTTTGGATCTTTTTTTGATAATCTCGATTCAAAATCTGAAACTAATGCCACAATTGAATCGTTAGGTATTCAATTGGAAAATGAATTGGTTTGACTATTAGCATCTTCTACTAGTGATACAGTTTCAGGAATTGGGGCCATTTCACCATCTAAATTTGAACCTGAATCTAACTCGTTTGCTCTATTTCTTGCAATAGAATCAGGCAAGGACGTGAGAATGACATGGTGTTGATGGTCTTGATTTTCCACTGCAGAGGACCTCTGAATGAGCAGCTTGCAAACCGACGAGATTGTCATGATGAATGCCCGTTCAGTATCCTACCGACTGCGTCATTTTATGTTTTAGGTTATCACCAAAAGATTTTTAATAATAAATCTATTTACTGAACACAAAATATCAGAGTTTCATGAGAGTGAAAATTACAATACGTCTTTACTGTGAGGAGTTTATGTCAAATCTGATGAGAGCAAGTCGGTGAATGTCTCGTATCCTGGAAGGCGGTGTAAACTCCTTCTGCTTTCGTCAGCGGTCTCAGCATATCACGTGAGAACGTCGTAGCTTATGATGTTTCTATACATAATTCACATATAGATACCTCACTCTTTAACTCATCTATCATGTATTCATTAATAATTTGAGATCATCAGAAATACTCTTTTTCAATAATCAAATCCTTGCATATTTCTCAACAATTAATAGGAACATAATCACAAAGCAATAAAATTAACATGCAACGTGAGTGTGTACTGATATACTAAGAGGCCCATCGAGAACGTTACACACAAATTTTATCCTTCGTGAGTTTTGTGATGCAATTCATGAAAAACTGCTCAGACAGGTCGATTTCAATTCGGCGGGGACAGATTTTCCTCTAAAATTAATATATTACAAAGTTGAAAACTTGGAGCGGAACTGGCATATACTTTCGATTTTCGATGAGAACACCCTATATTTCATTCCATGATCAGTTAGTGATTATGATCCAACAATACCAAGTTTGAGGAGGTTATCTCAAACGACTACGGAGCTGCTGGCGGAGTTACCGGTTCAATCCGATCTCTGCATCTCACTAATGGAGCATTTTGAATAATCAGTTATCACTTATTATAGTATTGTTGGATTTCTTATGAAATCATAATCACTAACTGATCATGAAATGAAATACAGGATGATTCATTCGATCCCGCGTTCCACTTCATAGTTCCAACTTAGAGATATGATAATCAGAGAAGAATGTGTCCCCTACCAAATCAAAATCGACCTGTGAGTGATAAACGGAGAGAACTTTGGTGCAAAGTTTTCGATGGGCCAACTGATATACACAAAAAAAAAATCGTAACGCTGCATCTTGTCAATTTTGTGTTTTCTCGCTCTGTTCATGTTATAAAATATCGTGGATTTCAATATTCATCCGAAGTGAAGACAGTGAACTAGTTCAGAAGGTGATGAGAAGATACTTCAAAAATATGAAATTGATTTTTTTCACTAAAACAGGCCCATTCTCAGCCATAATAATGAGTTGAAACGTCTGCAGGTAATATTACATAATGTTCAATTTCACTCTACCTGGATGTTCTCTGATATTCGCCAAGATTTTCAAGAAATTGATATTTGTATCCAAGTCCATTCTGTATAAATAAACTGGACAAGCTGATGTTCTTGCATGTTGAATCGCACTAGCTATAATTCCAGAGATGAAGTAGAAATCCGAGGTTAACTGAAAACAAACAAATATTTAATGAATTTTGTCGGAAATGATATAATTATTGTATCATTGAGAATGTCGACTTAGAACATGAGCTCGAAGCAGAATATGAAATGAGTTTATCATATCGGATTGACTCTTCCTGTTCTGCAAATATAATAATATTCAGCTTCCGTAGGTACTGATGTCATGAGGCAAACTGACTGATTTACCACAAACCCACGACCTATCACTTTCTAGAATACTCAAACGTTATAATGACTATATGCCCAAGTAGCACACATATGTTATAAATGGGTTGTACAGACATCTACAAGACCATGTTCAAAAGTTCGCGACTTACGTCTTGTACCATGCTCTAACGTCGGTATGTATGGCAATACGATGAAAAGGAGCACTTTCGCGAAGTCACATCGACGTCATTATGTTGTCGTGATGACTTATCGCTAATAAAAATTCACATAAGCAAATCGCAGAAGAGTGGTATTGAAATATTATTAGTATGTCGTTGTATAGTCATTTGTTGTCATTATATCATGTATTATAATACCTACATCTCATCGAAATTTGTAAAATATTATTATCATGATATATAATTCAGTTTTCTGGCCATGACCTACATTCCACAAATGACTGCCATATTATGATAGTCACCTTATATATGGAGATAAGATTGAATATTATTTTTGACTAAAAATTGTAAACAACTAGAGGGACCATATAGAGTGACTGAACAATCATATTTTGTAGAACAGAATTCGATTCTACTCACTTAAAAGTCATGGGCCTGTATTTTTAGCTAAAAGATGTCTCAATTCTTCTGTCTGAAAGTTTCGGAATTAATTTATTGGGAGAGGTTACCATTCCAAGTGATCGTTGAAGTTCAGTTTTATTTTCTGGCCTCTTCAGACTCTGGATCACCTTTAGTTTGTCTGAATCTGGTTCCAATCCATTTCCGCTCAATATATGACCTAGGAACTTCATCCTTCGCACATTGAAGATGAATTTAGCTGCGTTCAACTTCAGACGAGCTTTTCTCAGGATATTAACCACTTCAGATGTTATTTTTTTCAATTGTTCTGCACTCATGATGATGATTATCTCGTCAATAGAACACTCTGTATTCTCAACAATTTCTGATGATTCACTCATTGACTGCTGAAAACCTTCAGGAGGTGGAGCTAAACCAAACACTTGTCATCAGTGACTAATTCTCTCGTCATCAGTGACTCATTCACTTGCTATAGCTATGATCTATCATCCAGAAATCACAATGGTACCCTCTTGTTTTCTTCAGTGACGAAGATGAGAGAGTGGAATTGAAATTAACTCTCCCACTCATTGCACGTCACTTTCTCCCACTTTGAGTATCGTCGGAAGTGGAGAAGAATCCTGTATATGATTTCAAAAATTATGTTCTGTTCTGGTAGAGTTATGTATTTCATTATCTTCTTCGAAAGAATAACATATCATCAAGAACTCAACACCCCACGGCACAAAAACTAAGGAGTTTCATCGTGCATATATATATGATATAGCACTTGTTCAGAACTTTGCATGACTTGAAATTCGAATTGTACTAGCTTTGATCATAATGGAGCCGTGGACTGTGAAAGTGGTCGCGTTGGGCACCCGAATAATATATCGGAGACGTTCGAAAGGAGAAGAGATGTATATCCACAGATGAGCTGTCACTTGCACAAATCGACTTGATAGATTGTCTTTATCGATGAGTTCGCTAAGAACTATTGATTTTGTCTCATAATAATAATTTGATAATGATGAGTATTCATTAACTTCGCACTAGTTTAGTGTTCACTTATAATGAACGACCTCGAAATACATATCAATTTAGTTAATACCAACAAGTGTCCTGATCACTTACAGCAGAAACATTGTTTTACCTACTTCAAGTACCTTATTTTCCTACCGTTCGTGAAAATGTTCTTGTCACAATCGACTTTCTTTCAAGAAAACGACTTTCTTGGTCGAGTTTTCTCAGTGAACCATCCCCAAGGTGGTGAAAATGTGAGGTACTTTTTTTTTCTTTATTGACTTTTATTCGCCAGAATTCTCTTTCACAGTGAACTAACAGCAGTTTTCGCCCTTGGCCACGATCTCCTCAATGGTTTTCAGTTGTTAGTGTCTTCTGATATTCTATTGACGTCAGTTGGATCAACGCATATTCTTATTCTTTTGTCCTTCTCCACGATTATATAGTTCTAATTAGTTCCATATATACCATTTTATCCAACTCCTGCTTTCCATCATGGCGAGTGCAATGTGTAATTTTTCTGGGTGGCCAAATTTTGGAGTTTTCATCAGATCTATGTCATATTCGAAAATCTTATTGCCACCAATTACTTTACGAAAGCACTGTATGTCACCAGGACTGTCTGGCTACTGAGGAAACATATTCCAATAGTTACCCAAGCGACATGTATTAAATTCATATTTTATACTTCAACGAAAGTTAAGCAACGATTTTTCAGAGGTTTAAGGGTGTCAGGCAAGTGGTAACGTGTCTGGCAGTGGATAAAATGATTTCTAATATCATTCCGAATGAGATATAAGAAATTACCCATAGTATGATGAAAGTGAGTTTTTATTTTGAGCACCTTTGCTTCCTGTGATCTCATAGAGGCATCATGATCGTATCTTCATATTTGTTCATCTTTCTTACCTGTTCGGGGCATGCGCTGAGAAACTTTCAACTTTCATAAAATAATGGCGTTTATGGGATCTTGCTCTATTCATTCATAGGGAACGATTTCATTTTCAAAAAACGCTTATAATAACAGTAGCGCTCAAAGTTTGAGCTTTCCGCTATAAAAGATAGCTTGGATATGATTCTACCTCCACATTCATTTCACTGTTATTTTTACTCACCAGAAACTTATTACTAATATTTTCTTCCTTCAAATAAACATCAGCAATCCTTCTGCAAACCAGTTCACTTTCAGTACTTTCTTTCTGGATTTCCATAAACCAAGGAATAAATAAATCTAAATTGTGCTCTTCGCCTTTCGAATAAGGAACATGGAACATTTCATCACCAGTTGCTGCTAATAATCCCTCATTCGAACAGTACCCGATCATCATTGGCACCTGATTATAGTTTCCAGATTTGATATGATCTATGGGACGCTCTGATATCAATTCTGTTCCATTTGGTTTCTCAACAGTCGGGCCAATTATACTGATCTTCGTTTTATGTGACTGAAAGTTGTAATAAATATTAGTGAGAATATGAGTAAAACAGTAATTATACAGGGTGATTCCTGAGAAGAATGACATAGCCAAATGATGAATAGTGAGAATGTAGACGAATTGATGTATATATATATATATATATATATATATATATATATATATATATATATATATATATATATATATAAATATCCTACAACCCTAATCTAATATTTCCCTAAAAGTTTGATATACCTCAATATAATTTATGCACGACCGGGCGTAAAGTAGCACTTAACCGCCTGGTTTTGCAGGCGTGAAGTGGCACTTAACCGACCGCACAGCGTATGAATAACTTGAAATAGGCATTTCTGTATCATTCAGAACATTATGTTTCAGTTATAATGGTTATCCTTATCTAATATTTCAGTTACCATGGTAACGTCGATTCCATCGATGATATTCTTCACTGCAGCAAGAGGTATCCACATTGATAAATCAATTATACCGGTCGTGCATAAAATGTTTTATTCTTGGAAATATTAGTGGGATGCAGTCAGGGTGGTTCAAGATTCAGAATTCTGATCACCCTGTATCTGTTCCAATTAAATGTCAGTAGATAGTAAATCACAAGTTGATATAGGGACATGAGAGCCGTTTCGACCAATAATGAATAGTTTCGACACAAAAAAATGTCAAAGTTGAAAAATCTCGATTTTGAACACTTTATATCCCTGAAACCATTACAGCTAGACCCTAAGTGTGATGCATTGATGAAATCAGCTCTTCGGGGAGAATCTAAAAATGCAATAAAATACAAGGTGTTCCATTTGAAATAACAAAGTTGTTGCTTCTTTTCTTTGGAAGCGGCAACGCCGCAGGGCTGAAAATATTTTAGAAAGATGTCCCCCTCGAAAATGTAGTTGACCTGTTTCAGTTTTTTTGATAATCCGGTTTTGGCGACCTACAGAGCCTCTGTTTCGTTTTCAAAGGCCCACTCTGTTATACAATTAGCACAAAAAGGAAACATAGGTGTATGAATAGAATGAAATGATTTGACAAAAAAATGTCATAGATGATGGTTGACTAATTTAAAGATTTTGTTTACAGAGTGAGATGAATACTGATATACATAAAAATACTGATATATAAAAAATGTTTGTAGATTATATATAAAACATGAATCATTCAAGGAGGACGAGTAGATTTTTTATCTTTTTGTTTCTTTAAAAGGAATAAATAAATGGTACTAAGATCGTTGATGTCTGTTCTTTTGTTCATCGTTTTATCATTTTCATTAATATGTACCATTTCAAGAAAGAGGCGTTTGTTGAGATGTTTTTCATAATCCAGAATTTTGGCATTATCATAATTCATTATAATATGATCTTCATCTATAACATGTTCAGCAAGGCTACATGATTTTAAATTTCTTCTACAATCACTTTTATGTGAAGTGATTCTGTCTTTGAACATTCTACAAGTTTGACCAATATAAACTAGATTACAATCATTGCAGGGAATTTCATAAAAAATATTCGATCTATTTTTGACTGGTACAGGAGTTTTCAATTTGGTATGGAGATGAAATATTGTTTTCAAATTTTTTTTAGCGAATTTAATGTTTGTTTCATTTTTAAAGAGACTGATCAATTTGGGAGTTAGATCAATTATGTGTGGTAAAGATTTGAATATTGGAATTTGATTATTTCTTGGTAGGGGAATGTCAACATTAAATGGACTGAAAATAATTTTATTAACTAATGAATTCGGATACGAATTTTCGATTAGAATAATTCTCAATTCTACTAGACAATCATTTCTGAAAGTGACATGAGTGACTTTTTCTACTCTATTTTTGAGGTTACGTATCAAGTTAATTTTCATTTTCATTGGATGATGTGAATGGTAACGATTACTATTGATTGGTTTCCTATACCATCTAGTTATAATTATATTATTGTTCGTTCTAATCAATTTCATATCTAGAAAAGGAACTGATTGAACGTGTGTTATACACACGTTCAAAACCATTGATACATCACACTGTTCACAGTTCGATTGTTAGACCATCGAAACAAACAACTGTTGACCACTTATTAACACTCTCGATCGCAGCGATGTATACCATTCAATATAATGGTTATTATTCATTCATCCATTCATTTTTTTATTCATTCATTCATTCATTCATTTATTCATTCATTCATTCATTTATTCATTTATTCATTTATTCATTTATTCATTTATTCATTTATTCATTTATTCATTTATTCATTTATTCATTTATTCATTTATTCATTTATTCATTTATTCATTTATTCATTTATTCATTTATTCATTTATTCATTTATTCATTTATTCATTTATTCATTTATTCATTTATTCATTTATTCATTTATTCATTTATTCATTTATTCATTTATTCATTTATTCATTTATTCATTTATTCATTTATTCATTTATTCATTTATTCATTTATTCATTTATTCATTTATTCATTTATTCATTTATTCATTTATTCATTTATTCATTTATTCATTTATTCATTTATTCATGTATTCATGTATTCATTTATTCATTTATTCTTTCATTCATTCATTCATTTATTCATTTATTCATTTATTCATTTATTCATTTATTCATTTATTCATTTATTCATTTATTCATTTATTCATTTATTCATTTATTCATTTATTCATTTATTCATTTATTCATTTATTCATTTATTCATTTATTCATTTATTCATTTATTCATTTATTCATTTATTCATTTATTCATTTATTCATTTATTCATTTATTCATTTATTCATTTATTCATTTATTCATTTATTCATTTATTCATTTATTCATTTATTCATTTATTCATTTATTCATTTATTCATTTATTCATTTATTCATTTATTCATTTATTCATTTATTCATTTATTCATTTATTCATTTATTCATTTATTCATTTATTCATTTATTCATTTATTCATTTATTCATTTATTCATTTATTCATTTATTCATTTATTCATTTATTCATTTATTCATTTATTCATTTATTCATTTATTCATTTATTCATTTATTCATTTATTCATTTATTCATTTATTCATTCATTCATTTATTCATTTATTCATTTATTCATTCATTCATTCATTCATTTATTCATTTATTCATTTATTCATTTATTCATTTATTCATTTATTCATTTATTCATTTTATTCATTTATTCATTTATTCATTTATTCATTTATTCATTTATTCATTTATTCATTTATTCATTTATTCATTTATTCATTTATTCATTTATTCATTTATTCATTTATTCATTTATTCATTTATTCATTTATTCATTTATTCATTTATTCATTTATTCATTTATTCATTTATTCATTTATTCATTTATTCATTTATTCATTTATTCATTTATTCATTTATTCATTTATTCATTTATTCATTTATTCATTTATTCATTTATTCATTTATTCATTTATTCATTTATTCATTTATTCATTTATTCATTTATTCATTTATTCATTTATTCATTTATTCATTTATTCATTTATTCATTTATTCATTTATTCATTTATTCATTTATTCATTTATTCATTTATTCATTTATTCATTTATTCATTTATTCATTTATTCATTTATTCATTTATTCATTTATTCATTTATTCATTTATTCATTTATTCATTTATTCATTTATTCATTTATTCATTAATTCATTTATTTCATCTATTCATCTTATTCATCTTATTCATTTATTCATTTATTCATTTATTCATTTATTCATTTATTCATTTATTCATTTATTCATTTATTCATTTATTCATTTATTCATTTATTCATTTATTCATTTATTCATTTATTCATTTATTCATTTATTCATTTATTCATTTATTCATTTATTCATTTATTCATTTATTCATTTATTCATTTATTCATTTATTCATTTATTCATTTATTCATTTATTCATTTATTCATTTATTCATTTATTCATTTATTCATTTATTCATTTATTCATTTATTCATTATTCATTTATTCATTTATTCATTTATTCATTTATTCATTTATTCATTTATTCATTTATCATTATTCATTTATTCATTTATTCATTATTCATTTATTCATTTATTCATTTATTCATTTATTCATTTATTCATTTATTCATTTATTCATTTATTCATTTATTCATTTATTCATTTATTCATTTATTCATTTATTCATTTATTCATTTATTCATTTATTCATTTATTCATTTATTCATTTATTCATTTATTCATTTATTCATTTATTCATTTATTCATTTATTCATTTATTCATTTATTCATTTATTCATTTATTCATTTATTCATTTATTCATTCATTCATTTATTCATTTATTCATTTATTCATTTATTCATTTATTCATTTATTCATTTATTCATTTATTCATTTATTCATTTATTCATTTATTCATTTATTCATTTATTCATTTATTCATTCATTCATTCATTCATTCATTCATTTATTCATTTATTCATTTATCCATTTATTCATTTATTCATTTATTCATTTATTCATTTATTCATTTATTCATTTATTCATTTATTCATTTATTCATTTATTCATTTATTCATTTATTCATTTATTCATTTATTCATTTATTCATTTATTCATTTATTCATTTATTCATTTATTCATTTATTCATTTATTCATTTATTCATTTATTCATTTATTCATTTATTCATTTATTCATCTATTCATCTATTCATCTATTCATCTATTCATCTATTCATTTATTCATTTATTCATTTATTCATTTATTCATTTATTCATTTATTCATTTATTCATTTATTCATTTATTCATTTATTCATTTATTCACTTATTCATTTATTCATTTATTCATTTATTCATTTATTCATTTATTCATTCATTCATTTATTCATTTATTCATTTATTCATTTATTCATTTATTCATTTATTCATTTATTCATTTATTTATTTATTCATTCATTCATTTATTCATTTATTCATTTATTCATTTATTTATTTATTCATTCATTCATTTATTCATTTATTCATTTATTCATTTATTCATTTATTCATTTATTCATTTATTCATTTATTCATTTATTCATTTATTCATTTATTCATTTATTCATTTATTCATTTATTCATTCATTCATTTATTCATTTATTCATTTATTCATTTATTCATTCATTCATTCATTCATTTATTCATTTATTCATTTATTCATTTATTCATTTATTCATTTATTCATTTATTCATTTATTCATTTATTCATTTATTCATTTATTCATCTATTCATCTATTCATTTATTCATTTATTCATTTATTCATTTATTCATTTATTCATTTATTCATTTATTCATTTATTCATTTATTCATTTATTCATTTATTCATTTATTCATTTATTCATTTATTCATTTATTCATTTATTCATTTATTCATTTATTCATTTATTCATTTATTCATTTATTCATTTATTCATTTATTCATTTATTCATTTATTCATTTATTCATTCATTCATTCATTCATTCATTCATTTATTCATTTATTCATTCATTCATTTATTCATTTATTCATTTATTCATTTATTCATTTATTCATTTATTCATTTATTCATTTATTCATTTATTCATTTATTCATTTATTCATTTATTCATTTATTCATTTATTCATTTATTCATTCATTCATTTATTCATTTATTCATTTATTCATTTATTCATTTATTCATTTATTCATTTATTCATTTATTCATTTATTCATTCATTCATTCATTCATTTATTCATTTATTCATTTATTCATTTATTCATTTATTCATTTATTCATTTATTCATTTATTCATTTATTCATTTATTCATTTATTCATTTATTCATTTATTCATTTATTCATTTATTCATTTATTCATTTATTCATTTATTCATTTATTCATTCATTCATTTTTTCATTTATTCATTTATTCATTTATTCATTTATTCATTTATTCATTTATTCATTTATTCATTTATTCATTTATTCATTTATTCATTTATTCATTTATTCATTTATTCATTTATTCATTTATTCATTTATTCATTTATTCATTTATTCATTTATTCATTTATTCATTTATTCATTTATTCATTTATTCATTTATTCATTTATTCATTTATTCATTTATTCATTTATTCATTTATTCATTTATTCATTTATTCATTTATTCATTTATTCATTTATTCATTTATTCATTTATTCATTTATTCATTTATTCATTTATTCATTTATTCATTTATTCATTTATTCATTTATTCATTTATTCATTTATTCATTTATTCATTTATTCATTTATTCATTTATTCATTCATTCATTCATTCATTCATTTATTCACTCATTTATTTATTTATATATTCAGTTATTCATTTATTCACCTCTATTTATCGATTTAGTTATTCATTTATCTTTCAATACATTCAGCAGGCTATCGCCCATTTATAGGTGTAAGTCGCTGAAAATATCAACCTTTATCTATAAATGACTTGAAAAGAATATAAATTACCATATATATGTTGAACTGGTTCCTCAAGGCACTAAAAAGTTGATGCTTGATTGAGAAAATGAGAAAAAACAAATGTCAATACTCTATAAATTGTTGTAAATTTGGCACATTGTTATAAGGGGTAACTGAATTGTGTTGCCGTACAGCAATGCCACTCGTCCAGGCGGACTCGTGGCGTTTCTAGGCAACACAATTTCGTCAACATTAAAGCGACAGAATTATCTCGAATATTCAGAACATTGTGATATCACTGTGTGAGCCCTCATTGCACCTCACTCACCTCAATGAATTTGTTCTGATTCACCAATATATCATTCACAGGAACATTTCTCAAATAGTGCAACGCTTCTTTCTCATTATTTACATTTTCCCCCATAAATTTGACGAACTCTAGCGCACTATGTTTTGTTTGGGCCCATGGATTCAAAGCACTACCACTTTGTAGGATGACTTTATGGAAGAGACCTATAAAAGAATGAATTAAGGTCGAAGAGAATTTCATTTGAGCCGAAGACACAGCATGATGATTCCGATTCAGCAATTATGAATGAAATTCCAGTCTTATTTGTACCTACGAGATAATTTCCGTTATATTACATTGCATAGCACAAATTACATTGAAGGTAGGTATTCCATCGTGATTTCATCGATGCAATAGTGAGAATGCCAATTCATGAGTCACTTCTTCCATGTGAATATTAATACATACATTCGACCACATTATTACTTTTTGAAGAATAAATACGTTTATTTTCATATAATTTACGAAAGGATGAATCTTTCTGGGAAATAAATGAAATCGAAGATACCTACTAATTCGATTATGACATGGTTTATTCCATGGGGAAACTTCTCAGGGATTAAACGTGTGAAAAAGTCTATATTGCTCAAAGTGGAGTGGTAGTGTTTGAAAGAAGAATAAATATCAGAATCATCCCCACGACAAATGTCGTTCCTTACACTTTGGAGTGGAAATTTCTGAATGAAAGATTATTATCCGACATGTTTCATAAAACATTCCTTCATGTTGAATTGAATTTTTTTCAAGAAAATACGTAGGTACTGGTTTATCTCCTAAAGAACCCCACGGTACTTATCGCCGACAAATGAAAAATAACGAGATGCCTAGGAAAAAGGACGCGATGAGGCATTTCACAGTGTGATCCCTCGAAGTGTGACAATAATCCACAAATTCGTTTCTTTTCAAATGGAGAACCGTTCATTCTATATTTTTCTCAAAATCTGTAGATGTCGGTCTTGCTGTTCTTTAGATTGCTAAAACGGACAATGGAAAACCAATGCAATGACATTGTCCAACCAAGAGGTGCAGCAACAGTCATTTGAACATATTCTATTTCCCCATTTATGTACCGGCTGCGACACAACATTTGCAACCTTCAGGAGGAGCAAGGTAGAATTCTCAAAATTGTACTCGAAATCTGGAATTATTAAAAGAGCTGCAATGATCTTCCGCCCTCTCTTCTTTTCTCACAGCGAGGTTGAAAAGGCGGGAAAGATGTGCCCCCTCAATTGATATTGGGGCACCAGCAAGACAGTCCTTCCTCGAGCAGTCAGGTCAGTGGCAAAAACCCTGACATCATCAACTTCCACCCACCAACTTAAGTTCAAGAATGACTCGAGAATCACCTCAAGAGAAAACATGTAGGAAACACCCTGGCGCGAATTACAAAGGAGTTTCACCAGCACATGAGGTCCTACTGATAACGATATTTTGTCATTGCACTGTGGATTGTGAGATGGCAAATGTGAATACCAGAAAGCAATGCTGAACTAATCTGCTGCACACTCCTACTGCCAAGGGAAATGTCCTAACAGCTTGCCTGTTGGTGAGGACGACGACGACGATGAAGATGACATAGAGTCCAGTCAGCATGAACTATCCAACACTGAGTATGAGGATGCCATGAACGAAGAATCTCTAACAGGACCCTCACGGCCAGAGAGGATGAAGACGTGAATCTAGAGAAAGTGAAGTTTTTGGAATTATCAAGTTATTCAGAGTGAGAACAATGGGGATAAGATTACTCAGCACAATTTTCTATTTCTCAAGTCGAATTATTTTCGTCTGATGAATGAAATAGCCTGTTCTCGAGTGTGACAACACATTGGTATATACGGAGTTGTACCAAACAATATTTTTGGCACAGGAATATCAAGAACGGCGTCTTATGAAAATGAAGAAATTTCACGGAAATCCTTGAAATTGGTGTAACTGTTGACCAGTTGAAGACAAATCCGCATATGTTATATATCCTATAGTCTCGAAGAATAATGAATTCTCAATAACATTTTTGAAGAATATTGTTATTCCAGACGATATGACAGGGTGTTTGATGAAACATGTGAGATAATAATCTTTTATTCGTATAGTTCCACATTTCGGAGCGTGTAGCTCGAAAGCGGTTGGAGATTCGAAAAAAGTGTAAGAGAAGAATGTGGTGAAGACTTTCATCAGCTCTCATTTGATATCAAGACATGTGTTGCTTCTACAAACCGTTCTCGAAATATCTGCGTTGAACCCAAGAGCAGCTCAACCCCTAGACGGCAGGACTTTCAGTGTTTAGAGGGTGAATGGTCTGGAGGAATCACCTAGGTCCCTGCTCACGCACTTTAGAATTCCTCTTTAGCGAGTAGACTAAATAAGATCATGAACCTTTTTCTCTCAACGTTCAAGATGTTACATCTACAAGACACACACACAGAAACTTCCCTATTATAGAAAAAAAAATCTTTTTCGGGGAATAGTCTACAGGAAAAAAATTAATCTTTTTGGGGGGAATAGGCTGATAACTAGATATGTTTCGACGAAACGTTTTCGGGATACTTTTGCTAGAGAACCTGATCGACCCGCCTGATACTTTTTTCGAATCGATTCAATTTTTTTTCCGATTGCAATCGCTATTTTTCAGACTGATTCGTGGCATCCAGTATTTCTCTCAACCACATTAGATACCAAATATCAATTCAGTGTACAACCGACGAACAATATTCACACACACAAATTGAAGTATTAGGCGGTGGAAATCAAAATTTCTATCTTTTCCTTCCAAGACGAACATGTAGGTTAAAATTCAATATTATACTAAAACGAAAAAGTCCCTTCCACAGCAATGTGAAGAAGGTCATGAGATGCATTCAAGAGCTATCTATCATCAATAATGAGTATGTATGTTGAAAAAATAGTAATAAAATTAGTACTTGATGCAATCGTTGCTAGCGTAGCCTGGTGGTTGAAGCGTTAGTATTCGATCCACGTTGGATTGCCGGTAGGTGGGTTCGATTCCCACCACGACCACAGACATTTTTCTGATGGCCTAGAGGTTTGGGATCACACGTCAAAAGGTAAGACCCCCGTCATTCCTTGCCCGCATAAGTCACTTGAAGACTTCTGAGGGTTGCTAGTAAGGGGGCGACCGAATGGTGGATAAGAACAATTGGAGAACAGCAATCATTACAAAAATTGATATTCATTCAAAATTACCAATATTGAAGGAATAACACTTTTATCAGTATCGCTTTCATGAATAAACATTCTGATTCTCTCTTAAGAGAAAAATATGATTTTTGTTTAGGAAGCTAGATTTTGTACTACAGAAGCTGTATCTTGGATTTTGATAGGAAAGGAGTGCATACCTAGTCTTATTCGTAAAGCATTTTTCCGCAACAAAGAATAAACCATTACCGAGTATAGAATCAGTTTGTTTCTAAATATTCAATTTGGAATGAGGGTGAGATAGGTATTCTGGTGGACCATTTCATGTATCGACGAGTCGCCTGTATAGATCAGTTCATTCAGTCAAGTTCTTCCGGGAGCGGTTTTTTTAGGGGGAGGGGGGAAAGGGGCTAGGGCTATATTGTCCTACCGCCTGAGCACTGTGGCCTACTTTTTTTATATTGATTGATATAAACCAAAATTGAATAAAAATATAAGACACACGTGCGGACGGCAGCTCTTCGCCAGAGATCAGATAAGTGGATTCGTTGTGATTGCAGATAGTTAAATTTCAAGTTCAGAGGGCGCCACTCAATTTACAAAACAATTACTGATACTTAGATGATTGAGAAAACCAATTAGTTGGATACTCACAATATTTTCCAAAACCTAATCCTGAAATAGAAATATTAAAAAATCTTCTTAAATGGCAGTGTCAACACATGTAGATGAATAAAACCATATCAAATTTCAGACCTATTTATTAACATCATAATAAAAAGGGTTTATGAAGACCAGTGTAGAGACCAAAGTGGCATAATATGTAGCATGTCTTATCATCTAGGGGAATTCAAAATTATTAAATAAGTTATCAAAATTTATCAACCTACACCATGACAATTACCACCTCTTTATATGACTAGCGTTTGGGTATAGCAATCATCATATTCCAACTATAAAATGGGATGTATAAATCTCAAAAAAATTGATGACAATAATCTGTAAAAAACCTGAAACCGCTGTCACATAGTACTATGGGAGAGCTTCACAAGAGCTTCATACATGTTGAATATGGTTATGATCAAAATGTTGAAATATCAAATTCAGATTTAAAAAAATGATGGAATAAAAAACCTGGTCTATTGGAGGGTCCTCTCCAATGGTCTTATCACCCCTATTCAAGGTCCACTATGGTGAGTAGGCATGCTTGAGAAGATGAAGACGAAGACAGGAACGAAGACAGGAACAAAGAAGTTGATGGACCTCCACAGTCCACAGTAGGGCTCAGTGGTGTGGCTCAGCCGGTCAGCTTGACCGGTTACTACTGGGCTTGATCTGGGCCACCTGTCGACTCTGGTCAGGATGAAATGAGCGACCTGGTCCTTGTGGGAATCATGACCAAGGTCGAGAGATTATCCCCCGAACTGTTCGATACTAGAAGCCGAAGGCAGCTAAGCCATACCCTAACACCCTGTTAAAAAATTAACAGGTTGATATAACCTTTTGACAGACACGTGGGGAACAGAAAAAAACGGATATCAAAGGGAAATATTGCTCACCAAGTTGATAGTCATTGCTCTGCATATGACTTACCATCTGAGAAGGGAGGAAGGGCTTCCTGGGGACATCAGGCAGTCTCTGAAAAGTAGGAACAAATCCTACACAGGTCCATGGCCAGAATCACAGATATTTTGAACAATTTCAAAAAATTTTAAATCCCCCGAAGGGTTTCTACGGATTATACCGAGAAAAGAAAAAATGCTCAACCTGGCTCAAGTGCACACCATGACGGTCGCCGAGAAATAGCCTCGAGCTAGCTAGCAAAAATCTCCTCCTAAAATTCCCTATCTGAACTTATCTTATCTAAACGAGTGCTTCCTGCCAAAATTCAGCGCCAAATATGAAATCCTATTATTTCATTGGTCAGAAGAAAAACACCAGAATTACTAGGTCCAAACTAACAGAAGAAGTACCGAAGAAAGAAAAGGAAAAGAAGAGTCTTCTTTTTCTTCGGTAGTACTATGTTAAAACATTGTAAGATTGTGCTTAAGTCCAACTCACAGAAGATGAGTGACATACTTGACAATGACGTTTGGATGACAATATTATAACCCTAAAATAAATTCCAGAAAATAAAGAAAATAATTCTTCCAACACCGAAAATACCATTTCAGATCGAAAAATCACCTTGAATAATCCCTGAAATAAACCAGCGACATGGGCTTTATCACACCTGCGAACACAACATTGAACTATTTCTTCGGATTCTATATAGGCTCCTAGGATCAGAACGCCAGAAATCGAAGACTCCTGCAGCTTATATCATCACCTCCCATCGGCACATAGAATTTCAGAAGACATTACTAATCATGACTGTTATTATTTCTATGCTGTTATTCAAAACTGTGTGATAAAGTTACATTTCAGTACTTCAGGATTATTCACCAAGTGTCAGACTGAATGTTCTCTGTAAGTATGACTAATTCTTGTCTAGATCTGAAAGGTTAATATTTACAAAATAGTAATGTAAGAAACAAAAAAATGAAAATGACTCCCCTTGCAACTCCAAATGTTGCACTAAAGCAAATTCGCTTGAATTTTCATGCAAACGATAACTAAAAATGATTTTGTAGCAATTTCAAATGCTACAACACACTGCCTTATTAATTTTCATTATCGGTTTACATATTAATCGAATCAATAGAAGAAATATTGACCTCATTCTGTGAATGTCCTACTTTTTTATTTCAAAATATATTTTAATTCACCTAATATAATACTTTCATTTTCGCCTCTCATATTTTTGGGCCCTAGCCAATATTCGAAAACCTTTGAGGCAAACAAGCAATAGATAGTTGCAGGGGCGGACCGTGAATTTGTGTGGCCCTGGGCTAATACTAGTTGGGGAGCCTGCCTTATCAACCAAATGATTGCCATTTTCTCAGAAAACTGTTTCCGATTATGATCAAAACTCGACACATTTAATAAGAATTTTCCGATTATTTGAATTCAACATAACTTTCGACTGCCTCAACCGATTTCTGAATGTTCATTTCATTGACTATAAAATCGGAGGGAATGATTATTGTGTCTCTTCATGATCAGATTCTACGAGAGGAAAGTCCAAGCTTTTCAATTTTCCGAAAATTTCAAAGAAAAGAAAATTTGCTAATACTTTCTGGGGTGAAAAGCATAACGCATCATCTGCTTTCTCGAAAGGGTTTTGGGATTTTTGGAATTGTCACACTCATAATTCTTTCATTAGAGGATTATAAGAAGAATTATATGAGGAATGATGGAAAATATCGAAACACGTGGCAATAAGAGATGTTGTTTTCTTCGAAAATGATGTGATGAATGAAAATTCCAAAAAAACAAATCAGGAAAAAGGGTGAGTTTGGACCACATTTTGTCTGAACTTTATATCAGACGAACAGAAAGAGAAAAGTTATCAGATTTGAATTTGATAGAACTCGAGCAAAATACACAAGAAATTGTATTTCATGAACAGAATCCTATTGAGCATGAGCAGTGTTTCCTAGAACAAGGCGAAGAAGATTATCGTGGAATTTCTACAGAATCCGGAACCAAATCTAATTCTCCAGAGTCAGAACATGGAGAAAGAAGATATCCTCTCAGGTGCAGAAATAGTAAAGATTTTCCAGATTTCGTCTTCAATCATACAGAATGTTCTACATCAGATATACAAGAACCTTCAACGGTAAAAGAAGTCTAGTTACAATAAAGAGATGTGGAAGAGTGCCATGCAGGAAGAATATAATCTTCTTATCGAGAATAAAGTTTGGGAGTTGGTGGACTTACCTGAAGATGGTGAAATAGTAAAAAATGAATGGATCTTCAATCTGAAAACGAGTGCTGACGAACAAATAGGTACTATATAAAGTCATATTTGATTAGTTAGTTGAATATATTGATTGAAACCAACAAAATATACGGTTTTCAAACACGATTATTGCCAATTTTCATACTCTTTTATGTAAATACCCATGTAACAATTTTTTTTTCTGTGACGGGTAAAGTTTGACATTTTATCTCTCAACAGGCTATTGAGTGTCACTTTTGATAAATCACTTCTTTCTTACGGGAAAAAAGTAAGTGTTTTGTCTTGGATATAATATACACTGTTGATGACTTATTTGTGCTAGTTCCGAAAAATAAGCCGATAAATTCGACAGACAGATATTTGATAACTTCGACACAATGATGAAGATGCCTGGTATGCTGGTATTGCTTGTCGTGGAATGATAGCCGAGATTTCTGAAGAACATTTCCCGTGGAAGTATCTAAAAAAAAGTGAACGGTCGCCGACCTTTTTACGGTGTTCCAATGATGTCAAGGTGTGAGTGCGGAATCACCCACCAGACGAATGGTTCTTCTATGGATGGAATCTGAAAGCATCAGAGTAAGTATGTCTGGGTGCTGAATGAAATATGTGAGAATAGTATTCTAGAACAGAAGCTGTTGAGATGTAAAGTAGCTTTTCATACGAAATCCGAGTTTTTGTGGAGAATTATCCCATGAAAGAGTATTACTGATGTAGACACCGATCATAGATATAGTTGGCTTGGTGTTATATCAGACATACTGAGTTCCGCTTTCGTAGGGAAAATACAGGCTTGAGTTTCCGCGGCGTTGAATTCAACTAGGTTGTTGGTTCCCAATGAGACTGTGATTTTAGCAAGATTTCAATGGACAGCAATGGCCTGAATGCGAAGTGAGTTCTTCGTTCCTGGGAAGAAATGGGGATTCTGGAAGAGAACGCAGTATGGGGGGTATTATCATCTGCAAAACTGTGGATGACCTGGAACTGAGGTATCATGCATCGACTTCCAACAATATCCAGATAAAAGTTTCCTCTTGAGC